CGAGAACGCTGACAGATACTGTCACAGGCATTGGAACTGTCATTTTAGGCTGATCTTTATATAGTATGTCATTCACACTCGGTTTTTATTCATCCTTAAGATCTAAGTCACAACTACATTATTTATTTGAACATTGTAAGATTAATATTCTGGCTGTCAGAATCTTTTTTCTCTTTTTCTCTCTAGGCTAAACATGCTTATGATACATGTGAGCACATGCACAAATATTATTTCATGGGTTGAGGTAGAGAAACTCAGGAAGAAGTTGAGTAAATTCCCATCTTACAGCCTCTTAGAATAATTAGTTGCTTACTACTAGCTTTGGCCTTATGGGAAATGGGTAGATAACAATCCTAGCAAGAAATTGCAAATGACCTGTTTGAAGTGATGGCTGTAAAACATGATTTTTCTTCTAATGGAATTAGCTCTGGGGCAAGGATTTTTTTTTTTAAATGTAATCTTATTACATCGCAGGAGAACAACTCATGTTATCATGCTAAGTGACAGCAGCATGACACTGTGCGATTCCAAATTTGTATGTACAAATCTTAATGTATAAAATTAAACAGAAACATACCATAAGACTAACAGCAGTTCTCTATATGATTGTATTATTGGTAATACATAATCATAAAAATGCATTTTCTTTCATTGTGAAAATCAGATACTGAAGGATCAGCTTAAGCTCCTTGGCCTTTGTGCAGGTTTTCTTGACCTTTAGGCAGGGTTAGGCCCTTTGTCCTGAGCTCCCACTGTATCTAGAACAAGCCTTTGTTACAGCCAACGCTACCCTGCATCGTAACTGCCAGCCAACCTGTCTGCTTTCTACTGAATTCTGAGACTCCTGACGGCAGAGTTCTTGTCTTGTTTATCGCTCTAGCATGGTGCCTGGCACTTGGAACATGCCAGGCACATGTTGACTAAATGTTGAAACAATTTCTGTTGGAACTATAGACTAAAGTAATCAGATTTAATTCTGAGGCTTGGTATTGCCCACTCCTTTTCGGGTTCCACAGTCAGTAACACAAGCATCTCAGATAATATTTTTCCTAAAAGCTTTTTCTACAACTTGAGTAAGTTGCCACCGTGAAATGGGTGATGCTTGGGTGTCTGGGTGGGAAAATTCCTTTGAGGGATATGGAGGCATCAGACAACTCTACCTAGTGGCATCCATCATTTGATCATGCATCTACCTCCCTTACTGGGATTCCTTGCTCACCATGCAACTTCCAAGTTGTAATCTGGCTTCTTGTGGAAATGTCAAAACAGTGAATGTGCTAGCTGGCCTGGAGGGCATAAGAGACTGTTCCCTCTGGCGGTTGTGTTTCTCATGGTAAATTAATGAATTGGCAAAATTTGGATTCTGATGACCCAATGAGGTGCCGCCACCCTGTGAAGTCTCTTGGCATGCTTTGTACCATCTATCTTATCTCCACCAACAGTGGAGAATCAAAGGGGAGGGTTCATTGTCCAGAATGCTAGGGAAAGGATATCCAGGATGGAAGGGAAGCTGTCGAGGTAAACTTTGGACACACCTGGACAGCTGTGGACAAACCTTCAGGTGTGGGTACAAGAAAGTTTTGATATGGATTAACAGGACAGACTATACAATGATCCATTATAGTTACACATTAACAGAAAAGGCACTAAGATGTCCTTAGCCGTTAACTCTCTAAATTGTTTTTCCTTGTATTTGTAACTAATCTAATTGATATTCATGTTTAGCTACCATATATATATGTCTATATGTATGTCTATATATATAGTTTTTAATAGAAAAGGCCTTTTTTTTGAACTCTTGAATTTTGTTTTATTTATTTTTTTATACAGCAGTTTCTTATTACTTATCTATCTTATACATATCAGTGTATACATGTCAATCCCAATCTCCCAATTCATCACACCACCAGCCCCACCCTCTGCTGCTTTCCCCCCTTGGTGTCCATACGTTTGTTCTCTACATCTGTGTCTCTGTTTCTGCCCTGCAAACTGGTTCATCTGTACCATTTTTCTAGATTCCGCATATATGCATTAGTATACGATATTTGTTTTTCTCTTTCTGACTTACTTCACTCTGTATGACAGTCTCTAGATCCATCCATGTCTCTACAAATGACCCAATTTCGTTCCTTCTTATGGCTGAGTAATATTCCATTGTATATATGTACCACATCTCCTTTATCCATTCGTCTGTCGATGGGCATTTAGGTTGCTTCCGTGACCTGGCTATTGTAAATAGTGCTGCAGTGAACACTGGTGTGCATGTGTGCTTTTGAATTATGGTTTTCTGTGGGTATATGCCCAGTAGTGGGATTGCTGGGTCATATGGTAATTATATTTTTAGTTTTTTAAGGAACCTCCATACTGTTCTCCATAGTGGCTGAATTACATTCCCACCAGCAGTGCAAGAGGGTTCCATTTTCTCCACACCCTCTCCAGCATTTGTTGTTTGTAGATTTGCTGATGATGCCCATTCTGACTGGTGTGAGGTGATACCTCATTGTAGTTTTGATTTGCATTTCTCTAATAAGTAGTGATGTTGAGCAGCTTTTCATGTGCTTCTTAGCCATCTGTATATCTTCTTTAGTGAAATATCTGATTAAGTCTTCTGCCCATTTTTGGATTGGGTTGTTTGTTTTTTTAATATTGAGCTTCATGAGCTGTTTATATATTTTGCAGATTAATCCTTTGTCAGTTAATTCATTTGCAAATATTTTCTCCAATTCTGAGGGTTGCTTTTTGTCTTGTTTGTAGTTTCCTTTGCTTTGCAAAAGCTTTGAAGTTTCATTAGGTCCCATTTGTTTATTTTTGTTTTTGTTTCCATTACTCTAGGAGGTGGATCAAAAAAGATTTTGCTGTGATTTACGTCAAAGAGTGTTCTTCCTGTTTTCCTCTAAGAGGTTTATAGTGTCTGGCCTTACATTTAGGTCTCTAATCCATTTTGAGCTTATTTTTGTGTATGGTGTTAGGGAGTGTTCTAGTTTCATTCTTTTACATGTAGCTGGCCAGTTTTCCCAGCACCACTTATTGAAGAGACTGTCTTTTCTCCATTGTATATCCTTGCTTCCTTTGTCATAGATTAGTTGAGCATAGGTGCATGGGTTTATCTCTGGGCTTTCTATCTTCTTCCTTTGAGTTATATTTCTGTTTTTGTGCCAGTACCATATTGCCTTGATTACTGTAGCTTTGTAGTGTAGTCTGAAGTCAGCGAGTCTGATTCCTCCAGCTCCGTTTTCTTCCCTCAATACTGCTTTGGCTATTCGGGGTCTTTTGTGTCTCCATACAAATTTTAAGATTTTTTTGTTCTAGTTCTGTAAAAAATGCCACTGGTAATTTGATAGGGGTTGCATTGAATCTGTAGATTGCTTTGGGTAGTGTAGTCATTTTCACAATATTGATTCTTCCAATCCAAGAACATGGTATATCTCTCCATCTGTTTGTCATCTTTGATTTCTTTCATCAGTGTCTCACAGTTTTCTGCATACAGGTCTTTTACCTCCTTAGGTAGGTTTATTACTAGGTATTTTATTCTTTTTGTTGCAATGGTGAATGGGATTGTTTCCTTAATTTCTCTTTCTGATCTTTCATTGTTAGTGTATAGGAATGCCAGAGATTTCTGTGCATTAATTTTGTATCCTGCAACTTTACCAAATTCATTGGTTAGCTCTAGTAGTTTTCTGGTGGCATCTTTAGGATTCTCTATGTATAGTATCGTGTCATCTGCAGACAGTGACAGCTTTACTTCTTCTTTTCCAATTTGTCTTCCTTTTATTTCTTTTTCTTCTCTGATTGCCGTGGCTAGGACTTCCAAAACTACGTTGGATAATAGTGGCGAGAGTGGACATCCTTGTCTTGTTCCTGATCTTAGAAGAAATGCTTCAGTTTTTCACCATTGAGAGTGATGTTTGCTGTGGGTTTGTCGTATATGACCTTTATTATGTTGAGGTAGGTTCCCTCTATGCCCACTTTCTGTAGAGTTTTTATCATAAATCGGTGCTGAATTTTGTCAAAAGCTGTTTCTGCATCTATTGAGATGATCATATGGTTTTTATTCTTCAATTTGTTAATATGGTGTATCACATTGATTGATTTGCGTATATTAAGGAATCCTTGGGGGCAAGGATTTTCATTTAAAAAAAAAAAAATAGCCTGACCCTTTCCCCAGAGTAAACTAAGTTACTCTTGCCAGAAAGAGCCTTCAACTTGGTGCCCACGCAGAGAAACGAGTGCAGAGAGGAAAGACAGCCCAGACCCATCCCGCTGAGTGTTCCCACGATGTTGTAGATGCCAGATCGGTGTTGCTGTCGTGGTATCTCATGTTCAGTGACTGTAGAATTGAACACAGCGTCACGTTTAATTGAAACAGGAAGCACACTCCTCTTTGAGTGTGAGGCAGATACAGAGGAGCTGAAAGGTCAGTGCCTGGCAGAGGGCCAGAACCCATGACCCGGGCTCACACTGCCACACGAGGCTCCAGAACCCTCAGAGTGGGGCTGAGTGCTCTGTCCTGGGTTGGGACAGGCCCTTGCTAACACGTGGTCTGGCAAAATGACCACCCCTCTCTGCATCTTTCATACATTCCAAGAGACAGCTGCCCTTCCCCTTTTAGTTTTCCTTTTCTGGCCTCCCTGCCTCCCTCCTTTCTGTCCCCCACCTTGACCTTTCCAAACTCGGTGACTTGTCCAGTTCCTCAGGGGACTTGATTTCTGCCAGTGTTTCTGCTGCTGCCCTTGGAAGTAGGTTGTGAGAAAGGGTCCCTGCCTTCACTCAGCGTGTCTTGAAAATTGTTATTGTGACCTCACGGGTCATTTTGGTGGGTGGCTAGACTTGTGATGATTCTGAATAGTAACTTTGGAATTTTATGAATCGAAAAGACAGAGCTGCCACTGCCAGTGGAAATGTGTGTGGGAGAACAGCTAGTGTGACTCACACGGCAAAGAGGGAGAGGAGGATTTCATTGGCACTAATATGCACTTTGCTTTCTGCCCCCAGGCCCCCCTCCTGCCTGTTACAGCCCCAGTAGTCCCATCCAGATTCTGGAAGACCCCAACTACTTTTTCCCAGACTTTCAGCTCTATTCTGGGAGGCATGAAGCATCTTTGACGGTGGAGGCAAACAGTAGCGTCAGGGAAAAAGTTGGTAAGTTCTTTTATTGGCACTTGTGTTGGAAAAGCAGAACAATCTTATGTTTCTCATTGTTCGCTCTTTTGCATAATTTTTTCTCTATCCTTGTTTTAAATATCAGCATATTGGATTATTGGTTGTCTCTATATTGGTAGGTGCCTTATTTTTAATGTTTGGTAAACATGAACAAGGTTTTAATAGACTGTTTTACTGTAATATGTGACCCTCTCAACAGAGTTCCTAAGTATGTAGGAACTTCAGAATTATACCATTTATGCCTTCATTTTCTTCTAATTCCTAAATATTCTTTTGTATTCTTTCCCAGAATCTTTCATTCCTTTTTTTCTTCTCTGCTTTCATTTTTACCTCTTTTTGCAAATGATTCAGAAACTCAGAGAAATTCAAAACTATAGTCAGGAAGGAACTGCTTCCTTTGTAAAAACTTTCTGCCTGTTTTTGAGGGTTTATGAGATTGGTTAAACCATGAAAAGGGATCTTCAAAACCACTTTAAAGAAGATCTCAGGGTTCTTGCCAAATGTGCTTATGAAAAGGAAATTCGGTAGTTTTCATGCTTAATGAGACACCATTCCTTTTATTATTCATCCCAAAAAATCTTTTTCCTTTGGATATATATTTTTATTTGAATTATTATTCTAAAGTGTTGATTTTTATTTGAATTTGCCTGTTTCATTAAGCCCTGAAGGTAAGGACCGTCCACTTCACTCTCCTAACCCCAGCACCTATCAGAATGCCTGAATATAACAGGTTGGCAGTTGGTATTTGTAGCGTGAGTGATGGCTCAACTCAACCCACACTGTTAATCGCTTTCCTAGGGTTGTTCATCACTTATTACAATTATTTGGCAATTCCTCTTGCGTGGACTTTCAATGATCTGCTTTTGTTGTTTAAAAATTTTTGTGGTTGAACTTCTGATTTAAATCTCAGTTACTCTACACCTTCTCTGAAGGCGAAGAATAAGTTTGAATTTACTCCACGTGCTGTCCTGTGAGGCAGGTATGAAGCCTGACCATTATACAGAGCAGAGAGGTTCAGAGAAGCCAAGTAATTTGCCTGAGGTCACAGAGGTGTGATTTTGGGGGTCGATCAGAGTTGAGCTTCAGGAACCAGTCTGTAAAGTTCTTTACTTGGCAATTATTTTTTTTTTTAACCACTTTTTTTTAATTGAAATATGGTTAGTTTACAATTCTATGTTAGTTTCAGGTGTACAGCAAAGTGATTCAGTTATATGTATATCTATCTATCTATCTATCTATCTATTCTTTTTCAGATTCGTTTTCATGATAGGTTATTACAAGATACTGAATATAGTTCCCTGTGCTATACAGTAGGTCCTTGTTGTTTATCGCTTTCATGTGTGTATATGTTAATCCCAAGCTTCTGATTTATCCCTGCCCCCCACAATTCTTTCCTGAATGCCTTCTGTATATTGGGGTAGTATTCTAGGCACTGGGTATACGGCATGTGAACGTAACAGATAAAACTCTCTGTTCTCTGGTGCTTGAATTCTAGTAGACAAATACAGATAAATACAGTGTTGATCAAAAGGAGAAGAGGCCAGAGGCAAGAGACATTAGGCTGCTCAGGACATTTAGACAGCTGGTTAGGGGACTGGAACCCGGGGAGTAGCTGAGGGCATGGAAGCTGGGGCTGCAGTCTTTGCTGTTACAGAGACACTCAAAATGTCATCTACGGTCGCCTTTTCTCATATTTTAATACTGAAAAGTGTAAGAGGGATGTAATCCTTGACAGAATCCCTTGCCAAAAGAAGACAATAAACCCAAGGACTTATGTCTAGGTATATACATATGTATATGTGTATTTCTATATCTTGTAAGCATATCACACCACCTTCATTTTTTCTCATTTCACTTATCACACCACCTTCATTTTTTTCTCATTTCGCTGTGGACTGAAAAGTGCTTGGCACTTGATTAAATGTAGGGAGCAAAGGAGACAAAAGGATCAAAATTGAATCTGAAATTTCTATCTGGTTGTCTCTGATGAGGATGCCATTCATAGAAAAAAAAAAAAAGGCAACTTTGGGGAAGAAAGATAGTTTGGGGGAAAATGATGTGTCCCGTGCATATGTAAAAACAAAGAACCATCACCGCATGGAATTGTAAGAGTGAAGGCTGCTATCTCTAAGGCTGCTTATCTCTAAGGGGCTAGCTCACCTCCCTCTATTGACAGGGGAGGATGTTGAGCTCTAAGAGAGCAAGTGATTTGCTCAAAGTCTTGCCGGTAGTAAGTAGTAGAATTTTTGCTATCCTAACACTATAAATATCCTCAATACACTGCTTCTTAGTACTATTGTGAAATGGGGTAAATTATATATTTCATGGTGCTCAGATATTCTTTTACTGGTTACATGTTTGACCCCCATTACATGCAGGCACTGAGTTGTATGCTAGGGATACCCAGCTGAGGAGGCAAGATCTTTGCTTTTAAGGAGTTTAGAGTCTGTGTACATAAGTAATTGCCATCTATTGTGATGACTGCTCTAAGGGAGGTATAATAATGGAGCCCGGGCATTGGAGAAGGAGGGCTCAAGCCTGCTGGGCTACAGCAGGAAGGGTTCTACTTAGAAGGTAGCTTTGGAGCCGTCACTCAAAGCATGTCTAGGAATTTCCCAAGAAGGGTGTGGTGAGATGCATCTTTCTAGGCAGAGGGATGGATGGGAGCAAAGTCCTGGAGGCCAGAGAGAGCTAGCATGTCTGGGAACTTCTTAGGGTATTGCTGGAACTTGAACTCCAAGGGGTTGCCGGTGAGGGGGCCAGTGATGGCATGAAATGTTGCTGGATGGACAAAGCAATGCCTGCTACACCCTGTGATGGATTGTCAGTTTCATCCTGTAATTCATTGTTGAGGAATTTTGTGCAGAGGAGTCATATGATTAAGTTTTCCGGTTTGAACAATCTTAGGGCAGTGCGGAAGATAAGTTGGAGTCTGAGGGGGTGGGTTTGGAAGTGGAAAAGAGACTAGTGTCAGAGAAATAGATGAGGGGGCTCTTGGAATGGTTTGGGTATGGGGCTCCACGGGCTTGTCATGCGGAATGAACACAGATTTCGTTGTGGAATGAGTCGGATCCTGGATCTGTCTCTTCCTACCTCTGCGACCTTGGTGATTTACCTTCTCTAAACCTCTCTCCTTATCTGTAAGATGGGGGAATTAATACCTGCCTCATGTGATTATATGTGGACTAAACTAAATAAAGGAAGGAATTTAGTACAATACCTGGCACATCATATGCTCCTTAAAGATGGTTTTTGTGGTTGTACTGTGGTTATTGATAATGAACTTGGAGACTGGCAGGGGAATAAAGGGGAGAGTTGGGAGAGATGTTTCATTTCGGAGGTAGAATTGACAGGCAGGCGCTGACCAGATGTTGGGGGTAAGGGAGAGGAAGGAATTTTGGAAAACTCTCAGGTTTCTGGCTTGGCAAAGAGCAGACGAGGCAGGGATCCAGGGGTTGTTTGGATGGGCTGAGGAAGACACGTTGCGTTTGGAGGACCCGTGGGCCATCGGCTGGTGGTTGTAAATGGGTGGGCCATGGGTCAGTAGGTTCAGACGAGCGGTGGATGAGATGAGAATCTGTCAGTGAGGGTGGGTGAGTGCTCAGGGCAGAGCTGTGGGAAAGAATTCAAGGGGCAGGTGGAGAAAAGGGAGCCAGAGATGGAGTGTACGGAGAAACAGCAGGATCCCGAACCATGAGAGGGGGTGGCCTGGATGCTGAGTGAGGAGAGCATTTCAAGAAGTGGGTGATCAACATGCTAAGTGCTTCAGAAAGGTTAGGCTGGAAAGTTCTCCCTGGGAATGATTACTAATCAGAGCGGTAGGGAGGGCAGTGGACGGCACGTTCAGAAAGTGGAGATGGCAAGTATCAGTTGCTTTCTGAGGGCGATTAGAAGGGGAGGAGAGATGCAGGGTGGCTCTTAGAGGTTTACGTGGAGCCATGGAAAGATGGTTTCTTTTTATTTGGCTCTGAGTTTTGCTTGTTTTATTTTTTTTTTTTTTTTTTTTTTTTTTTTTTTTTTTTAAGATGGGAAAGACTTGACCTGTTTATATGATGAAGAGAAGGGGTCGGTGGGGAGCTTAAAGGAAAGGGAGGGTTTGAAGGCCCGAGCAAGGTCTAGGAGGAAACAGTAGGCAAGGGAAGGGAGAGTAGTAGAGACACTTTGATTTGGAGAGATGCTTCCATGAGAAACTGTAGGGTAAATGGGAGTGACGGTGTATTGGAAATCTTTAAATGCCTCTGTCGTTAGAAAGTTCGGTATTCACCATGTACGTCCAGACCTATATCTGCGTGGAACAGCCTGACATCTTTTTCCCATGTTTACCTTCTAGTTGAGGATCCTCTTTGTAACTTCCACCCACCGAACTTCCCGAGGATCTCAGAGGTGGAAATGAGAGGTTCCGAGGATGCGGCAGCTGGAACAGTGTTACAGCGGCTGATCCAGGAGCAACTGCGCTATGGTACCCCGACTGAGAACATGAACTTGCTGGCCATTCAGCACCAGGCCACAGGGAGTGCAGGACCAGCCCACCCCACAAACAACTTTTCTTCCACGGAAAACCTCACTCAAGAAGACCCACAAATGGTCTACCAGTCGGCACGCCAGGAACCGCAGGGTCAGGAACACCAGGTGGACAACACGGTGATGGAGAAACAGGTGCGGTCCACGCAGCCTCAGCAGAACAACGAGGAACTGCCCACGTATGAGGAGGCCAAAGCGCAGTCCCAGTTCTTCCGGGGGCAGCAGCCGCCGCCGCCGCAGCAGCAGCAGCAGCAGGGGGCTGTGGGTCACGGCTACTACATGGCCGGGGGCGCCAGTCAGAAGGCGCGGACTGAGGGCAGGCCCACGGTGAACCGCGCCAACAGCGGACAGGCGCACAAGGACGAGGCGCTGAAGGAGCTCAAGCAGGGCCACGTCCGCTCTCTCAGTGAGAGGATCATGCAGCTGTCGTTGGAGAGGAACGGTGCAAAGCAACACCTCCCTGGCCCAGGGACCGGAAAGGGGTTCAAGGCGGGCGGGGGGCCCTCCCCAGCCCAGCCTGCAGCTAAAGTGCTGGACCCCCGAGGTCCTCCACCCGAGTACCCCTTCAAGACCAAGCAAATGATGTCCCCGGTGGGCAAGACCCAGGAGCATGGACTTTTCTACAGTGACCAGCACCCGGGAATGCTCCACGAGATGGTCAAGCCTTACCCTGCTCCCCAGCCTGCGAGGACAGAAGTGGCCGTCCTGAGGTACCAGCCACCCCCAGAGTATGGGGTAACGAGGTGATTATCAAGCCTAGAAGTTTTTTTTTTTTAATTAAAAAAAATTCTTTTTTATTGAAGCATAGTTGATGTATATTATGTTATAGGTGTACAGTGTAGTGATTCACAGGTTTTAAAGGTTATACTCCATTTATAGTTATTATAAAATATTGGCTGTATTCCCCATGTTGTACAATATATCCTTGAAGCTTATTTTATACCTAATAGTGTGTACCTCTTAATCCCCTGCCCCTACATTGTCCCTCCCCACTTCCCTCTCCTCACTGGTAACCACTAGTTTGTTCTTTATACCTGTGAGCCTGCTTCTTTTTTGTTGTATTCACCAGTTTGTTGTATTTTTTAGATTCCACATGTACGTGATAACAGACAGTATTTCTCTTTCTCTGTCTGACTTACTTCACTTATTATGATAATCTCTAGGTCCATCCGTGTTGCTGCAAATGGCATTATTTCATTCTTTTTTTTTAAAATAAATTTATTTATTTATTTACTTATATTTATTTTTGACTGTATTGGGTCTTCGTTGCTGCACGTGGGCTTTCTCTAGTTGCGGCGAGCGGGGGCTACTCTTTGTTGCGGTACACGGGCTTCTCATTGCGGTGGCTTCTCTCTTGTTGTGGAGCACGGGCTCTAGGTGGGCGGGCTTCAGTAGTTGTGGCATACGGGCTTAGTTGCTCCGCGGCATGTGGGATCTTCCCGGACCAGGGCTCGAACCCGTGTCCCCTGCATTGTCAGGTGGATTCCCAACCACTGTGCCACCAGGGCAGCCCCTATTTCATTCTTCTTTTATGGCTGAGTAATATTCCATTGTATGTATATGCCACATCTTTATCCATTCATCAGCTGATGGATACTTGTGTTGCTTCCATATCTTGGCAATTGTAAATAATGCTGCTGTGAACATTGGGGTGCGTGTATCTTTTCAAATTAGTGTTTTTGTTTTTTTCGGATATATACCCAGGAGTGGAATTGCTGGTTCATATGGTAGTTCTATTTTTAGTTTTTTGAGAAACCTCCATACTGTTTTCCATAGTAAGCCTAGTGGTTTAATTCATGTTTTTAGCCCTCATTATTTTCAAGGCGTGTTAGCTTTTTGTCGTCGTTTTTTTTCTTGTGCATAATATTTAACAAGCAGCATTTTGGCCAAAATATTCAGAGTGAAACAGAAAAGAGGGCAATTGGGTATTTTCTCCAAATGTAACAGAAGGCAGCGGGGGATTTATGAGTTTAGGGGGGGAGCCTCCATTGCTGGCCATCCTTGGGAGCTCAACCCAGTGGCCTGGCAGAGCAGCAATTTTCCTGGCTGGCTTTGTGGAGTGTGTCCAAACTCCTGGAACATATTATTACCATGGGGTTTTATAGAGTCTTTCTTCATTGTAGATTTTAAAGGAAAATGTAGTCTGAATTCTAGAACAGAGGGGTTAAAGGGACCATAGAAATCATATAGCCCCACCCCTGTATTCAACAGATGAGAAACTAAATTCCCACAGCACTCGACTCTGAGGCAGCTGGAGCAAGGCTCAAGTATCCTGACTGTCAAAACCTTATTCCTCCATTGCCTTAATTCCTCCTACATCTGTTGATGGACTCAACAGCACTTACTGAGTGTGTATTCTGTGCAACCCTGTACCTGGTCCAGAGATAAAGATATGGTTCCTACCGTCAAGGTCCTTCCAGCATCGTCTTGGGGGAAACCAGCATCTTAACAGATCCTCGTGGTGCAGTGTGCTGTTTTAGGATAGAAATATGCAGAGAACATTAGGGCACCAGAGAGGGTAGTGTGACTACAGCTGTAGGGCTTAGGGAGAGCTTCACAGAGGAGGTGACATTTGAGTTGGGTCTTGAAGAATAAATAAGAGTTGTGGGGTAGAGGTTAAGTAGCAGAAGGTACTGTGCAGGGGAGATGCCGTTTCTTCAGACAAAAAGCTTTGGCGGTTTTGTCGGGCATGAGCTGCAATAATGCAGAGCACTCGTGGGGTAAGAAATAGCAGAAGGTGTGTTTGGACAGGGAAGTTGAGACCAGGTGGTGAAGGTCTTTGAGTGTCATACTAAAGAGTTCAGAATTTATCCATAAACAATTAGGAGAACCAGTGTTTTTCAGTAGATACTGTGTTGATGTTTACTAGGCTGACGTCAATGGCAGCGAGGGATGAATTAGAGGCAGGGGATACTGGAGGCCAGGAGGGCCTCAGGAACCGGGTCAATTGTCCAGATAAGACTCGGTGAGGGTGACCTAGGTTTGAGGACATAGGTATAGGGGAGCCTTACATGCTAAGAGAAATAGAATTGATATCATTTAATGATTGATTAGCTGTGGACGCTGAGGAATAATAGGGCAGCTGAAAATACGGCGATTGGAAAACAAGCTCTCAGGAGAGAAACTGGGTCTGGAGATACACATTTGGGAATCGCCAGCATTTAGATGTTTCTGAGCTTGCTCTGCTTAGGGAGAGAGCATGGAGCATGGGAAGAGAAGACAAGTGGCCACTGCCTATCATGGATATGTCTTCATCCTCACCAAAGGCTTTATTCATCTGTTTCTAAATCAAATGAGCTGAGATTTCCCCGTGCCACCCCAATGGCAGTGTGCAGGGCATACTTTGGCTGTACATCTTGCAAAAAGGGAGTGACTGGGCCTTGGCAGAGAGAGAGAGCTGGCTGATCGGCCCGCCACTTACTTCCCAGCTGCTGACACATTTCCCTGCATTCGGTGGGGGATGGCAGCTGTGAAGCACTATACCAATCTTTAGGCCCCTGACAGGCAGCAGGGCTCAGTGGGCACAGTCTGACCCCACGGGGGAATCAAGATGGGGGCTGGGAGGGCTCTTATTCTTACCCTTTTATGGTTCCTTAAGCCAGGGAGAAATTTAAACTGAAAAATTGTCAGGTTTGAAGAAGAAAAATAAATCTTCAGATCTCTGGTTTTTAGAACATTGATTTGTCAGAGTTAAATAATCCATGATGTTTATCCCAGTATCATATCAGAGTTTGGTTTGTGATAGTTCACATTTGTTTAAGTCACAGCCTCTAGAGCCTGATAGAAAGTGAAAATAGCCCCAGATGAAGTCTCCTTCCTTGTGCTTGGCTTTATTCTTCGTTAAATGGCAATGCACAAAGTGGGTCATTTTGCTTTTTGTCATTTGGCCGTAGATGTGCTGTGAGTGGGAGACACAGTAAGGGGAGGAGGGAAGCCCTTCCTGGAGGGCTACCCGGTTATTGGTGGGCGGTGTCATTTGTCTCAAAGTTATGACATCAAAAAGAAGAAACGTATGAAGGATTTGACCTGATTGCCAGGCTTGACAGCTGGGTCCACATGACACATCAAAATGTCCCAGAAGACGTAACAGACAGGCCATTGAGGCTGGGCCGCAGCGCTACAAGGAGCCTTTGTGAGCCTGGCCACGCCTAGCCAGCATGACTCCAGCAGTGCAACCTTTGGCCGACAGGGTAAACAAAGTTGCGTCTACACCAGCCCTGCTTCAGACACCTTCAGTGTGGCCTGAGCTCCAAGGGTTGGGTCTGAAGTTCAGCAGTGTGTGATGTTCAAGTTATCTTTGACCCACGAGAAGAGCCGGGCTCCTTTAAATTTCACTGACACATTCCCTTATGCTTAACGGGTTATCAGTTTGGCATTAATAGTGATGGTTTGGGAAGCTGCAGGCTGTTGGGTCAATACATCACAGACTCTTCTGAGTCAGAGAGACTCAGTAATCTCAGACTCTTCCGAGTCTGACTGAGGTGACTGGGTCCACGTCCGGGCCGCGTGCTGCAAAAACGGCCTCAGTATGTTGTGAATGTTCAGTGCTCTGATCCAACCCATCAGCCTGTCGAGACTTCAGTTCTTTTTGCCTAGAGGTGGAAAGGTCCAAAGAGCATAGAGCTTAAGGTAAGATGAGGAAGAACTTGGAGTCACCATAGCTTACAAATTCTCTCATCTGCTCTGATCTGCTAACGATGGGAGATGTGGTGGCTTATGGGCTCCTTTTGCGGGAAACCCCATGGGGAGACCACCAGTCAACGTGTACTTGACTTGCACACCTTGGCCTTTTTCGTGAGCGTGCTAGCGAGGCTGGGGAGATGGAAGGACTAGGGCGACCTGGCCCCGCTGAGGTGGCTGGTGGGGACCTCCAGGGACCATGGGCGGCCATGGATAGAGACTCTGGTTTTGTTCCTGCCCCTTCTTCCTTTTCCTTCAACCTGAAAGTGGAAATGGATATAAATAAGGCCAAGGTGAGAATTGGACAGGTTGTTCTCTGGAGAATTAGGCTTTAAAAAAAATAAAGAAAAGGAAGAATTTTGATATTAACTCTGACACATTTTGTGGAAACAGAGCACTTCTAAGAGTTGTGACTTGGCTTACGCAGTCTGTACCGTTAATGGAAGTGAATGCACGAATGAATACCAGTGGATGATCTGATTTTCATCAAAGCAGTTTGGAGCACAGTTGTCAAATGTATGTTTGTTTTCCAAAGAAATCTGTCCATATTTCCAAAAGTGGAAACTAAAGATGCTAAAAGATTATTTAAAGTATCCTACTTTCTTAATACAACCACTGTTAACATTTTTCCTGTACAAATTAATTTTTTCACATGTTGTAATCATAAATTATATTCCATTTAGTATCTTAGCTTTTTTCAGATAGTATTGTATTGCAAGTTTTTTTCTACAATGTTTGTTTTCATAACCATCCTTTCTGTTGCTGCATAATATTTCATCAATTATATCATTTACATCTTTTTCTCTGTAAATAGTATAGAGACCATCATCATGCACATCGAATTTTCCATATTTTGGTTTACTTCTCTAGGCATCATTATTTAGAAATGAAATTATTGGGTAAATTTTAGTTAAATATTTAATGACTTCTGATACCAGATAACTTTGTGAAAATATTATAGTGCCTGTTTCACTGCCCTATGACCAACATTAGTCATTATAATTACAAAAACTTTGCTAATGTAATAGGCAAATTGTGTTAATTTTTAATGTTAATTTGCAAT